GGAAATGCCAGAAAAATAAAATGCTTTTTACGATTTGACTTATTATATTCCTTTTATAGTCCCTGCATTCAAAGGTAATGTACCATAGGCCATAAGTAAGCTTACGTCCAGCATTACCATTATTTTTACATTAAGAACTAAAGGGTAAAATTTCTCTAATGATTTTTAATAGGTAGTTATTTCTTGCAGGTGTGAGATTGAATTGATGTGTTTCTGAAAAATGATGTCTGTATATTATTATAGAGAGACCATGTAATGCCTGGAAACAACAAAAGAAGTTTCTCTTTAGCTTTAGTGTATTTCAACGCACGTGCGTGAAATTCTCCACAATATGTTTTATTTGCAATAAAAATAGGTAGTTAAAAGACACATTTTTGTTAATTTTCAATTCATTACTTCATTAATGCAAGCACATGGAAAACTGCTCATAATACAAAAACAAGAATAAACCATTAAATAAAGTCTCGAGCGCCTTAAATTACACAACATAACATAATAAAAAGGTCAAATCAGAAGTTATTATGAATTATTTTCAATGAGCCAATTTTGAGTTATTGCTGGCTTCATGCCAAAAAATTATATAGGATTCAATAGCAATGCACTTTTTTGTTTATATGAATATGGATCTCGGCCAAAACAGTCTATATTACGTTATTTATTAATTTTGTCAAGTTTTCGGAGTGTTTCCACTTCATCGTCAGGGCCCTTTAAATAAAATAATAATATGATAATGATTGATCGAACAAAATTTGATTATTGACTACACTATTGCGAAACAATAGATAAAACAAAAAAAATTAGAATGTATTAGTGCATATTATGTTAGTGGCGACTAGGTACATGCTGAAATTAAAATTCTGAAACACACCGCAAAGGACAACGGAGAGGAAAAACAAGAAGACAAGGGTGAACCCAAATCTAAAGCAGTTATACATGAAAAAGTTGGACGGAATATTACTCTTAAAACCTTGAGATGCCTCAAGTACCATTACATCAAAAAAAGTGGTCACAGGTAAGGTAAACACGAAAATATTGAAACAACAGAAAAAACCCTATTGGTGCGATACGACAACACAAAAACTTGGAGAATAGTGAGAATACTAATAAACATTATGAAAACAAAAACTAAAAATTATCTACAATAACGCCCCAGCAATGGGAAAGTATTTTAAAGAATCACTGACTGAATAACGGACCGAATTTGAAGAAGAAAGAGAACAGACACAAAAAATTAAAAACCGCAATAAGATTGATATAAGAAAGGTCAAATTGTGTAATTTTGTATAATTTTTTAAAAAACTAGAAGAGCGCCAGGACCAGGAGAAATATACAAACTTATAAAATCTGGAAACAGTAAACTTCACAAACACTCAACAAAACTATCCCAAACATACATACTAACCCTAAGCAAAGACCCCTAAGTCAAAGAAATTATTATGTTTTATGTTTTTGTTTTATTGGCAGTTTTCAATGCGCGTGCATTAATGGTATAGCAAATTGGAAAATAACAATAATGTGTCCTTTAAGTATTCATTATTTTTGCTGCCAATAAAACTTTTTGTATAGAAATTTCATGCACGTGCGTTGGAATGCACTAATGAAAAAGTTTTTCTCTTCATGTCACTTATATTACTTGGACTCTCTACAGAATTAATATTTTAGAGAAATAATTAATGCAGTCTCACACCTGTAAGAAATAACTACCTACCTATTAAAAATCATTAAAAATTTAAAATTTCTACTCTTCAGTTCTTTGTGGAAACAATAGTAATGGTGGACGTAGTCTAACTTATGGCCGATGATACAGTACTTTTAAACTATAAAAGAAATAAGATATACCGGGTGTCCCACTAAGGTCGACAAGGTACGATATTATGAAAAACATAGACCTTACGGCTTCGGGATTTTTTTTTGTCGACGAAATCGGCTAAGAGAAATTGATAGAAACTATTTTCAAGTTTCTAAGGTGACCGCTAGGGGGCGCAATTACGATTATATAACTAAAAATTCAAATTTTCTCAAGAAATCGCTATATTAAGATAATTTTTTCACAATAGAAATCAAAAGTTCATTAATTTTTACGCCAGCTGGGTTATTAGGCTTTTTTCGTATCTTCAATAATAAGGGTGGGGGAAGCTGGTGAAAAAATAGTTTTAAAAATTGCTGTATCTTCCATACCCCTTATCCAAACTAATTCAATTTGGGCTCGTTTGAAAGAGAATTTTTTTTTTTTTAAATACTACTTCGTTCGGGGTCGATAGTTCCCAATGCGTCTTCTAGAGGGCGCTGTTTGATCAAGATCCAGTTTGTTCTAACTTTCTTGAAAAATCCAAATGGCATGATATTATTTTTGTATTGCTGTGCTTAAAGAGCAAAAAATATCTACATTTTGGCGTCAACCGCAATTCAATATCTGCAATCGTTTTCAAATTACATGCAAATACCTTTTCCATAATATCGTACCTCGTGGTCATTAGTGGGACACTCGGTATAATAAGTCAAATACTGGAAAGCTTTTCTGGGAGCGGAAGTACTTAATTCATAGAAAAAAATTATGTCACTAAATTTTGCAGTTGTTGAAGGTGAAGTGGTCTCCTACGATCTACAATACTAGTCAAAAAGTAAACAAGAATCTGTTTCCAAAACTGTCTTCACGTGAGGATTCTCGTGTGATCAATGGGTATTGTTTATTGTTAAGAATGACCTGTAGCATATTCCTTCTCCTTATCTCAAAGAAACTATCAAACCTACAAACTAGGTACAGTGTCATTTTTTATATTTCCCCACCCCTCTTAACTTTTTTGTGCCACCGTGTATAAAAAAAATGTGAATAGAAAAGGTGTAGAGCTTGAAAAATAGTTCTCAGAAAACATAGTTTTGTTCATAGAGGGTGTTGCAAAAAGTTTAAAAAATGAAAAAATATCTTTTTTTAAATAGGACACCCTGCATATTATGACATTTCTATATTCTGCGGAAAATTCTAGACATATTTCATATGATATCATATACAACTGTTTCGGAAATAATGACAGTAGAAAATTGACTTTTTTGCAACTTTGATATGCTGTAAAACCTAAACTGTTAATTTTACAGCAAAACCGATTTTACATTCTTGTCCACAGCTTTTCATAAGCTAGCATTTGACGCCAACTTTGAATTTAACCGGAAATTAAATTTAATTGGAATTTTCAATCATGGATTAAAGTTGGTGTCAAATAATATTTTATAAAAAAAAATAGGAAAAGCATGTATCATCGGTTTTGCTGTAAAATCAACTGTTTAGGTTTTACAGTCTGTCAAAGATGCAAAAAAGTCAATTTTCTACTGTCATTATTTTCGAAACAGTTGAAGATAGGTATATGACATTATACATAAAATATGTCTAGAATTTTCCGCAGAATCTAGAAATGTCATAATATACAGGGTGTCCCATTAAAAAAAATATATTTTTTGTTTTTTAAACTTTTTGCAATACCCTGTATGAACAAAACTATGTTTCCTGAGAACTATTTTTCAAGCACTACAACTTTCCTATTTAAATTTTTTTCATACACAGTGGCACAAAAAAGTTAAGGCGGGTGGGAAAATATAAAAAATGACCCTGTACATTTCATCTCGATTGAAAATTTGTCAACTTAAAAACCTAATAAAAATATTTAACTTTGACTCTCTATATTGTGAAAACGGGCAACATTCCGATGAGACAAATCATTTTATTGTACTAACAAAAATAGGATAATTTCCAATTTTTGTTGTTTAGTTTTGATTATAATCAAATAGCACACATACATATCTTAGAATCCATTGCTTCTAAAAAAAAAGCAGCATCTCGAGGGCCTAGAGTTGATCAGGTAGCAGGTAGGTATAACCAACGGTATAACAGAAACGTCAAGCTTAAAATGCGATGAATGGAAGAAAAATTCAATATATCCAGTATGTTTTCGAAACAGCAGTCGCAATTTTCGACCGCCTAATATAAACAATAGGTTTTAGGTATGAAATACATTCATGCATACCTACTCAGTTAGTCTTTTAGTAAAATAATGATAATCTCAAAACATTTAACTTAGAAAAACAATATAACAGATTATAATGATAAAAAACTAATGGCTAATTCCGATATTATTTGAGTTGGTTGGGTTCATGACCAAAATTGACCCTATTTATTTAGATGTCAAGGAGGAAAAAGGGATTTTTTTTTTTTAAATTCCAAAAAGCAGAGATGTTTTAAAGCTATTAGAAAAATCGTAGATGACGCTCCTTATACAAGAGACTTTGATACAAGTAACGGCCATCACATTTGAACTTCTTTCTATATTAGGCCTGTTCGCACAGCAATCACAAACCAGTCAGAGCGAATTTCATTGGTTGGAAACAGTCAGAAACAGTCAGAAAACTAGTTTCAACCAATGAAATTCGCTCTGACTGGTTGGTGATTTCTGTGCGAACAGGCCTATTGTCAGAAAATCCTCAGAAACAAATTTCAATATAAACCTCTTGCATCCTAATTTATTTCAAAAAATTAAAAACAAACAATTTCGCCACTCGTACCGCAACTTCTGATCAGTGTTAAAGATCTTTTAAAATAAGTAAGTATTGGGCATTTTTGTCCTTTTGTAGGTAGGTAAGTACCGGCTGATGAAACAAGAACGGCACTGAAACCTAATCTGAATTTTTTGTTAATTTTTTAGGGGTACTTATATTGCAAATTTCATATTAAGTTAAAACAGACTGCTGGCGAAGAGGTAACATCGGTAAAAAAAAGGGGTTGGTGAACTACGACTACTAAAACAATCTTCCATGGAAATTCATTGAATCGACAAAAAATAGGAAAGTTCTTCAGCAAACAATAGTAAATATATTCCAATAAAATGTGAAAATAAGTTCACTTTCACAGGTATAATCACCATTAAGTGGTTTATTTGATGATCATTAATGAAATTTTCAAATAAAATAGCAATTTAAAAAAGTACACTATTTATTAAAGTTAAAATACTTACATTGCAGAGTAAGAAATCCAATGAGAAACGCGAAACACCACTCGCGATTCATCTTGAAAAACAAAACAACGCAAAGTATTTAAAATATCTTTTCCCACTTAAAACCAAAAACTTCAAGACACGAATCACCCAAAAATTCCGAAAAAAAAAAATCCGAAAGAACCCACAGTATGGGTAGCGCCGGCTCAAAGTACCAAAATGTTTAGAATCGTAAGTAAATAAGTCCGCGTATTCGACTAGAACGAAGAAACCCAGGTGCTGCGGCCGCCGAGAAACGATTATGTTGAATGAGCTGCTCGGCTTTGACTTTCCGAGTGTTGTATGAATGAATGAATTATTGTGACGGAGTACCTGCGGTAGTTCGCCTGTGGCTCCCGAAGCCGGATTTTGGAAGGGGAGGTAGTATTTACGAGATACTACCAAAGTCTTACAAATGCAGGGTAACATGGTGGGGTTGCAGTGGTAGTGGACTTATGCGGGGGTATTTTTGAATGAATGGTTACCGAATATCGTGATTCATAGTTTTATTATCCCTTATAAATGCAATAATGATGAAAATTCTAATTTCAGCATTTGGTGATTTAATATTTGTGTATCATTTTCATCTTCATAACTAACATTGTAGTTTAATGAGATTAGCTTATTAATAAATAACGGGCTTCAAAAAAAGAAAACGTAAATCAAAGATGGCTATGATTCCCACTATTCTGCTTTTTTCTTCTATCGAAAACGGCATTTTCTCAAGAAAAAATCTTCGGACAAATAAAGATATCAAAAATGTGTCACTGTGACATTTTATTTATGGAAACCGACGCGACGTTCTTGGGTTATGCATAATAATATGGCATTTTCTTGAATATGTTAATTATTCCGATTAGAAATAGCGAAATCATACACAGTTGAAACTCAATAACGCGAACAATAAAAGAACCTTGATCATGAAATTGGGATTCTCCACTCCACATGTAGTTTATTACATATTTAGAACATTCCGCAAAAAATAGCTCATTTTACTCATAACTCACTATGAAAATCTAGCGAATAATTAGGTCTGTTTCTGCAGAAATGAAGGCAGGGCAGTCAGAGTGAATTTCATTGGTTGAAACTAGTTTTCTGACTGTTTCTGACTGTTTTCAACCAATGAAATTTGCTCTGACTGGTTTACTGGTTTGTGATTTCTGCAGAAACAGACCTGTTAATAATTGGTCACCCTCCCTTATAGTGTGTATCGCTTCAGGACTGACCACCCTTCTATTTTTTTTTTTTTAACCGATGAAAAATCTGATAGTAAATTCTTGTTTAAAATGGTCTAAAACCCTAATGTACTAATTTTTGATTCAATGCGATACAGTGTGATCACAACAAATTTTCAAAATTTAATGGACCAAACCGCAAAAATTTCATATTTTGAGGCCTTGAGAACAACAAAACTTGATACAACATAGTTTTAGAACATTTTTAACCAAAACTTGTTAGTGAGCATGTCTCAAAATATGACATTTTTGCGGTTCGATTGGATAAATTTTGAAAATTTGTTGTGATCACCCTGTATCGTATTAAACAAAAATGATACATTTGGGTTTCAGACCATTCTGAATAAGAATTTGCTATCAGATTTTTTCTAAAAAAAATCCCTAATGGTACTTATTAAAATTTGAGCCCATAAATGTGGACACCCTGTACACCAGTACAGCCGCAGAAATAAAATTATGAGACTAACTAAGTGCCAAAATCGAGTAGATATAAGACAAAAAAATTAATAAATTGAATCGGTTGAAAAATTAAAATTTTAGAAGGGTGGTCAGCCCTTAAGCGGGACACACTGTATAAACATGCATCTAGGAGATTATGGAAGTCCAGATTGTCACATTGTCATGTTATATTTATTGACGTTATAAGGCCGATAAGTAGCAAATAACGACCGGGCCGAAGTTTGCCAGTTATCGGCCGTGTTTCGTTCTAATTTTTTCGTTATACTGCAAATATTTTTCAATTTGACAAAAAAAAAACATTCTTCCGGCAGCCGTTGATTTAACGGTCGGCGGTTTGTTTAAATTTAACCGGTCAGCGAATAAATAACGGCCATCGGTCGGTTAAATATACCTTTCCGATTTCAATTTCGCTCATGTTATATTAAGATAACACTACAGTATCACGAAAATAGGTTTAGCATTATCATCCAATATCATCCAAAATAACGCTCGATACCTATAATAAGAAAGAATGATTAATAATTGATAAATCAATCCACCTCAAGCATACAGATATTACAATTTATTTATCTTTAGTATCGATTATCTTTAGTATCGATTAGGCATTATCACACCATCTCCTGCTATTCTATTTTTCTGCTCCATAAGTTGATATTTTCGATCATCTTCATCTCCTTGTAGTCTTTTATTGACAAACAGCAAGAGAAAGCAACGACGGAGGATAGTAAGAAACTTTGGAAAAAATGTAACCAATAGCAATGTCGGAAATCTCCTATCAATATGCCACTGAAATAACCTAAAAATTCTTAACGGATCCTGGTAAAATAAGGAGACAAGATGGAGCCTAGGGAATACAACCTAGGTTATATCTCTAGAAGAACAAAGCGGAAACGGAAAAAGTTAGACCAAAAATTACAGATCATAGTCTGAACTTCCAAAACCTTAAAATGCAGTGCCATAATATGCACAGCATAATAACTTTGTGATTCCAAACATAGTTCTGTTAACCGAACATTTGGCTAGAGCCTGAAGAACCATTATAATATGTAGATTCCTGTGTATCTCATCGTTTCAAAATTTTGCAGATCAAATGCTCAGCATGGAGGCACAGTTGCCCTGGTACATGAGTGCATTTCAGAGTGTTTTTCTGTCTTTGATAAGTTTGATGATTTAATGGTTGAAGAGCAGTTTGAATTTTCAATTATTATCTCCATAAAATTTGAATGCTTTGTAGTGTGTATGTAACGTTCTCCGAGATGTAATGTAAATGTATTCTTTGTAAGACTGGAGGCGCTTCTTCCTAAATTCCCTTCAAATAATCGTACTTGCCGGTGATGTTAATATAAATTTTGAGGAAAAGGACAACTGGGCAACTCATAACACCTCAGAGTAACACTACATAAATAGAGAGGGCAAGTCATTCATAAAAACGTTTGGTTTCTGCGGCCATTAATCCTAAACGTCAATAGTGGATTAATGAATGAACTACGTGGAGTGGGGATAAGATTGCGAACTAATTTGGACCAATTAAAACCTATTTGACATTTCTTACTACGAATACTAGGGCGCATTCGCGATTAAGGTCGGGCTTACTCTGGGAATAGTCGCGTCCTTCTTTATCTGGTTATCTAAACAAAAATAAAACGATTCAGGTGCGCGCTCTAGACGAATACAACCAGGTTCCGAGATTTTGGGCAGTGTTGCCATTTTTAGCTAGCACAAATTCTTATTCTAATTTTATTGTGATTATAGATTATTATTTAATATAATAACTCTTCCTATTTAATTTTAGAAAGCACTGCGATATTTTATGTTATAATTGTATACCTATGTAGGTATATCAATCTAGGTTTTTATATTTACGATTTTTTTTTTCAATTTCCAATGCCCCTGCAACTTAGGACAATTTATAAATATGGTAGATCTGCAGTAAGTGTTCAGAAGTGATCTTAGAATGTGATTCAATGTTTTGGGCATTTTCTGATCATAATAAACCTATCTATTTTATGTATTAATCTGAGGGCAACACATACCTCTTCCACTACAATAAATTTGCGTGCATAGAAATCGGCCTACTGCTAGTTTTTGAATTCATTTTTTTTTTTAGGAATTATTCAGACTGAAAAAAGAAATATGCCATTTGGAAAACAATTCAATATCATCTAATATGAATTCCTAAATCTCTAAATATGTTTTTCTCAACTTCCAACTACCCCTCACGAAGTTAGACGAACGATTAACTCAATGCAGAACAAGAGAGTAGCAAATAACGATGGTATCTCTGTCAAGATATTGGAGACTTTGATATTGGAGTCGCGATCGCAATTTCAGTTCTATCCAATGTTATCAATGTTTCCTTCCTGTTTGGGTCCGTTCCAACTTGTTTTAAATCTGCTAAAATCATTCCTTTATACAAGGGAGGTGATCACAACTGCCCTTCAAACTTCGAACTACTGGCTAATTTCCCTTCTGTTCACTCTTGCAAAGGTAAGTTTTTGGCATGTATGTCATATTTCTTGCAATGGGTTGAATATTAATAAAGCCATAAAACCATAAACATAACTATTTCAGGTAGGGAGGTAAAAAAAAAAAATACCCAGTGAAATAAAGTAGATAGAGTCAAATTCGCACCAACTTTATTAATATTTAACTGGATATTAATCCCTCTATATTAATTATTAATTTATAGGATCTTTAGGTATTATCATACCACGACAAAACAAAAATTTGAAGAAGTAAAAATTATATAAATCCTTTCCTTTTTTCAGGAATAATAATCGATTTAGAAAAAAAAATCAAAAAGTCAATGCAGTTAAGAATGTTTTTTTGTGTAACATATTTTTTTCGAATAGTTTTGAACAACTGGTGTAGCCACAGTTTTATGTAAAAAATGCACCAAATCCATACCTATTTTCAAGTGAAAGAATCCCCTTATCAGAAAATCATAATCGCGAAGTTCGAAAACGGCAATCTGAATTTCATAAATCCATCAGCGGTTGCAGAGAAACTCTTTCGGATATTTCTAAACAGGACATTTGGAAATTTTATTCGCTAAATTGGCTATGGGCTATTATTAACCACGGACCACCCAGGTATGTCGCTAAACCATAATAATTGAAAACATGGGTAACTAAATACAGTTAATTATTTTTATTTGTTTTTGAAGAAATTGTGTATATTCCAGTTTAATTATAGACTTTATTACCTAACTAAAGGCACGTACCAGGTATTAAATAAACCCAGTGTAACCACACATGTGTTTTCAAAAGGTGCAGTTATGACCAAAACCGATAAGCTTTAACTCGCTATCGCTTGAACACAAATAGACGAAATAGTAATTAAAATTATCCTGATTTTAGCACAAACACAATGCATTTTATGTTGCTTAACGGCTGTTCTCTATTGAAAAATAAACCAATCCTATTTTTTCATTGACATATACTCCTCCGCAAGGAATGGAGTCTACTCGAACTATGTTTCATTTAGCCAGCAAATTCTTATTTTAAGGAACACTTCAATCAGAATTTTGGATAAGATTAAAATTAATGGTAAATATAGAATTCCTAGAAAGTATGTAAAATCTAGTTGTGAAATGAGGCATATCTTTGCCTTGTCCTGTGTGAGGCGTATCAATCCTAATGCCAGCATTGCGATG